AAGTGTGCTTTCTCCATCCTTTAAGTACAGAATACTGTCTCTGTATTCCGAATTTCATGTTTCTCAGGTGATGTCTTGTGCAGTTACAGCAAAAAAAAAAAATTGTTGCTTAAGTTTCGCACACCAGTATATTTAATATAAGTGTTGAAAACATGTTCTTATGAGATCTTGTATGTAATAATTATTTACAAAATAAAGAAAATTAAGCTAGAACTATATGATAGTTAGGTTAGAGTTAAATGTATAATTATAAAAAAGCAATGCATTTCTGAATATGTAAGTGAATTGTAAAAAACTTGTAAAGTGCATGATGCAAAACAGCAAGCAATCTATCTAGCATATGAGATTTGCATATCTGAATTATGAATGAAAGCAACTTATTTCTTTCTAAAAGTTTAAAAATTGTTAATTAAATTAAAAATTACAGCCAATATGAAGTGGTTATTCAGTTTACTTCTAGTAATAAATTTGTTTACTAATTAATCTTCAAATAGCTTAAAATCAGTTCTACAAAATTCATTTATTAATTAATTCAATCAATTCAAAACATATTCTGCAGCAAATTCAGTCTGATGTACTGTACCATATCAAATCTGTCATGGAGAAAAATAATGCTTCAGCTAAAGAGTTCAGAAAAGTTATTTGATGCAAAGTAATATGTCTGCCAATCTGGATCAGTTTGTCAGTTCTTGCAACATTGACTTCCATTGTCAAGCAGGTTGGATGTCCACTGTAGCTTTCACCACTCACACTTTCTTGTCAACTTGCAAACTTCTCGACATTATTATGCAATACTTTGACAGGACAACACACTCCTTGTATATCTCAATAGATTTCAGCAGGTGAAACATTTTTGGTCCACAAAAATTGAATAACTACTCAAACTTTTTCACAAGATTATTTTTCTAACCTTGTGTCATCATTTGGAAATGCTATATTACAACTGTCCTGCATTCACGCCATTCTAATTATTCAATGTTGCCAATCTGGATCATTACTTACTACCTGCATTTGATTTCAATTATGAATGCTTTTGTTTTTAAATCATAACACTTATAAAGTTACTTTTTGATCACCCCACATATAACAACATAAAAATTAAAAAACTGTAAAAACAGATAAAATTTAAATTTTTACCTTGTAGATATAAGGCGTCCACTTGATGATTTTGGAATAATGGTTTTACTAATGTCATGATCATGCTCTCCAGAAGAAATCATAAAATATATATCCATAATTTGATTAACAATTGGTTTTAATACTGGCCATTTTGTAATAATTAGCTAAAAGAAAAAAAGAAAAATTTGTAATTCTGTAGTTTTATTATTACTATTATTAAGTAATAAACACACATTATACTGGATGAAAAGTATAAAGCACACTCACAGAACCAAAAATCCAGTGTGTAGAACAAAAAACATGAAAGGAAAATTGTAGCATTTCATTTGTCATTCAGTTTCCAAATCCATTCTTTTAATCTGAAAACAGTTGCTCAAGGCAATCAAAATTTTTCATTTTCCTTTCACTTCTTTGTTCTGCATGCTGAATTTTGGTTCTGTAAGTGTGATTTTTATTATTATTGCAAAATAATTAAAAATATATTAAGTATAGATTAAATTTATTCAAATACCATTATTAAAATTACAAAAATTATAAAAAATTACTATAAAAGTGCTTCATCACATTTTATTTTAAAATAAATATTTTAAAGAACTATAAAAACGTTCATAATTGATGAAATAATTCCACAAATGATGAAGCATACCACTCACAACATACCTTTATTTGTAGGCTATTGTTGGAGTCAAAGTTTTATCCTCTTTGTAGTTTTCTGTTGAAACTGCCCATTAATTTACATAATATAAATATTAAAATTTTAAAAATTTCATCTATTATGAATGTTTTTATAGTTCTTTAAAATCCATTTGCTTGAATAGCCCAATCCTAATAACCCAACAGCTAATAAAAGGACACAACAAACTTAAAATCAAAGACAAAAGAAAGGAAGGACATCACACAAAATTAACATTCCAAAGAAGTGTCAGACAAATTATGGAAGTAGCCAAATGGAAGAATACCACAATGATCTATAACAGGGACCCTACTTATATAGTATACTTAGAAATGACAAGAACTCACTCTCAGATAAACTTAAGACAAGAGTATACAGAATCTCATTAGTCAATGAAGAGATGGATCTAACAAAAGTATATGTTGGGGTAACTAGGAAAGAAGGATTAAAGAACACCAATACAATGTCAAGAAAGGTAAAGACAACACAGTACTAGCAGCAATTATAAATGTACAAAGAACAACAGTCAAATGGGAGAATCTAAAATTGTAGTAGAGGTCCATTCCCCATAACAGTGATAAACAAAGAAAAAATTGAGATATTTAAACACAAGCTTACAAATGAATGAATAAACACCAGAGATGTGGAAACTTTCCCAACATTGTGGAGATATGCCATTAAAAAAATAACTAGAATAAATTTTAAAAAACACTACTACTTATGCCTTGATGATACATGATTCAATTGTGAAATTTGATATTTTCAAAAATTTAATTTGAAAGCATTTAGAGAATTTGGGTTACTCCAAAACAAAGGTAGAACACCTCATAAATAGGGCTGACAAATGTTTTGTGACAATTATAATTTCCAGCGTAAAGGTGAAAGTTTTGATATATAAATATACACATCAATCAAAGCCCGATATCTTAAGCAAATACATCCACAACTGCCGTAAATGATCGGACTAAATTTTGGATATATGATTATAGATTAGAAATGAATTTGGCACTAGAGTGAAGCATTAGGCACCATCTCTTATTAAAATTAATAATTATAATAATTAATTTAGATTAAACTGGAAGAAAACAATTGTAACTGGCAACGCATCTGCACGATGAATGGAAGTTGCAGATTCGAGTCCCACTTTGAGCCGATTCTTTACAACAGTTTAATCTAAATTAATTAATTAATTATTAATTTTAATAAGAGATGACACCCAATGCCTCACTCTAGTGCCAAATTCATTTCTAATCTATAATCATATATCCAAAATTTAGCCCGATCATTTATGGCAGTTGTAGGTGTATTTGAAAGTTCTGATATTTAATATTATGTAAATTAACAGACAATTCTAATGAAGGACAACATTAAAAGTGCTCAGCAAGTAAACACTGAAAATAAAACACCTTAATTTGTTGCTGAGAAATATAATTGAAAAACTAACGTTTTCAGCCTGATTAACAAACCATCATCAGGTCCAAAAAACAAAAATGGAACAGATACATTCCATGTATAGAATACAAATATTTAAATCAAAATTTAGAACAAAAATTTTTAAAAATATTCAAGAGAAATGGAAGAATATATAAAATTAATACAAAACAAAATAAAAAATATAATAAATCTTTCAATAAACTAATTCTAGCATGAGTTTTTAGTGAACTCTTTAATCATGTACTTCCACGCTGACAACAGGCTCTCAGCATCTCTCGCATTTAAACATCCCTCACGTAGCCAACTCCTATATATTTCAATCTTCTCTGCTGTCATTGATAAAGTGGGGGAAGATACAGGTTTTATAATTGTTGCCTCGTCCCATTTTACCACCGAACCTTGGACTTGCGACATTTGCAACAAAATTGTAGCATTGGATCTTTTTCTTACATTATACCTATGCTCTTTTAGTCTTACTCCCAAGCTCCTGTTGGTGATGCCAATATAGTCTTTCTTAACTTCTAGTTGGATGTTCTCATAAGGAACTTTACAGACACCTGGTTTTTCTTCTCTTTTTATTCTATCTTTATCATTCCTCAATATCTTATATAAATTTGGGGCTCTTTTTAAAACCATTCTTGCTTGTTTCATATTAGCAACTTCTTTCATAATACTGTTCAAATTACTATTATATGTAAACTTCAAGCGCCTATTGGAAGCAGTATTTAAACCTTTTCTCTCTTTGTTCCTTTCATATTTCTTGAGTAATCCTACAATGGTGCTTTTCTTGTAACCTAGGGTCTGGGCTACTTGCAATATCCTATCAATTTCTTTATTCCTGTCACCAATTCTATCACAATACAAATAAGCTCTTCTTATCAATGTTTGAAATTCGGCCGTTTTATATCGATATGGATCCATGGACTGTGCTGGTATATATAGCGGGGTGTGAGTAGGTTTAATATATACGCTGGTGGACAAATGATCTCCCATAAACTTGATATTAATGTCCAAGAAGTGCACATTCAAGGAACTTTTTTGCTCTAATTTTAACTTAAGACCATCTTTGTTATTATTGAGTCTATTCAAAAATTCATGTATCCTGCTATTATTTCTCCATAATATAAAAATGTACGAAATGTAGAAATTTTAAGGAAGATATCATACATTTCGTTAAATATGTGGATAACATTTTTATATTATGGAGAAATAATAGCAGGATACATGAATTTTTGAATAGACTCAATAATAACAAAGATGGTCTTAGGTTAAAATTAGAGCAAAAAAGTTCCTTGAATGTGCAATTGGTAAAGTGTATACATTACCAAGGAGACTACTTTGAAGGAGATTAGAGCTTTGTACCTCAAAATCAATTAATGTATTTTTGCCAACCAAAGGTNGGCCTAGGGATCTCTACAATTACAATGCTATTAATTACTTCTGAAAAATCATGAAGAAGACAGTAAAGCAATCAACATTGGACAGATTCTTTAACCCCACAAACGGAAAAAAACATGACTAATAAAAATGCAAGACCGTGTATATATGTATTTTTATTATTAGGCTACATATGATTAAACGTAGTAAGAAAGTATATATTTTTTTATTTTTGGGGGTCTCCAGAACGAATTAATCAAATTCCCATAGAAACCTTTGGTAAATCGATAATCGGTTAACAAACAATTCGGATAGCGAACAAAGTCTTGGAACGTATTATGTTCGTTAACCGATCATCCACTGTACTTCAATAAAAAAAACATTAATTAATACTTACTGAAATATGACCAAGAAATTTGATATTCTGAATACGAGAAAAGCTTTGACAAAATATTTCTTCGTATTCTTTATGCAATGGAGCTATTATGGATTTCAGTTTAACTGGCTTATACCTAAGTATATAAATAATTAATATTAATTTTAATTTAAATTAAATTATTTATTTTAAATTTTATATCATAGATTTTGAATTCAGTATGTAAAAAATATGTTTTTATAACTTTTAAAATTGTGAATTAAATGCCTATATTTTAAAATTAATATTTCTTACACAAATCTTATTATTAACAATGATCAAATATTAGTTATACATAAATATACACACCCTCCTAAAAGATCCACACTATCACTTTGCTGATTCATATTAATTACAGTAAGTTTATGGCCTGTAATCAAATTATATTATTTCAATTAGATAAAAAGCTTAATAAAAGCAATGTAACAATTAATTGAAATAAATAATTATAATTGTATCTCTTAAATGTATTAAAAGATGAAATGAAAAATATCAATAAAAATATTCATTCAATCTTCAATTTTTTTTAACATGTTAACATAATTAATGAGCATGCTTATTAATCCTACATAATTTTACTTATAATCATAACAAAAAATTAACAGAATTTATTAGTCATTTATCAGAAATATGATGCATATTGCCTAATATCAGCAATTCAAGATGTCATAACATTTTTCTACTAAATTAAATAAAAAATGAAAACCTTACTAATGAATTATATTTTGCCTTTTTCACAAAAATAAAAATGTACAAAAAAAAAACAAAACAAAATAAAAAAATTTTCTGTTTTAAAATGTTCTGTTTATAAATTTTCTAATGGCAGAAATATTGTGTTTTTAACAATTTATTTAAATTGTTAAAAACAATTTTAACAATTTAACAATTTTAACAAATTTTAACAATTTATTTAAATTGTTAAAAACACGATTACTCTTTTTTATTCAAATACATTCTATAACAAAACAGATAGAAGAAATATTCCATATGATTTAAATGAAATACAAGATTAAAGAACTTTATGTTATTTAGTTTTTTGTTTTTATTAAAATGATTATAATGAAAAATTTTTAGTAAAGAAACATATTTGCATATCAATAAAGTGATACTAAAACACCTACAATAGTTATTTAAAATATATAATTAACATTTGTTTTCTTAAAATATTTATATAAAACTGTTAATTTATTTATGTTTACCTCATTACAAATTTTATTTTAATTAAATTAATTTGTTTTAAAGAAAAAGTACAAAAAGTATCAATTATTTCAAATAAGCATAAGAGCATATCTAAGGACAATTTGTACATATAAATATCTTTTAGTGTTTTAAAAATGTGTAATTTTGCATAGTGTATATATTTTATTGATAAAAAATTCTAAAATAAACAATTATAAATTTACTTATAAAAATATATGCAATACCTAATAAATCAGCAAGATATTGAACAACTGATGTTTTTCCAGTACCAGTTTCACCAACAAGAAGAACAGGTTCAGAGTTTTTAACAGCAACTGCAACTGATTCCAAAAGTGCTAATGATTGACGAGTATGGGCGTACACTGTTTTTGAACACCTAACAAAAATAACATTAGCAGTTATTTAAATTGAATTAAATTACAGTAGAATCTTGTTTTAACAGATTGCTTGGGCCACTGAAAATCATCCATTGTTTCAAGAATACATTATATCACAAACAACAAATTTTTCATTATAGTCATATTCAAAACTAGTCAGTTTTAAAAATAGCTGGTTTTCTGAAAGCCAGATAGTTAGCCCAGTACTGTATAATAAAATAATTTTTTAACATTAATTTAGATTAATTTGATATAACTGACATTAAATTATATCAAATTTAATGATAAATATGCTACACATTTCAGTAATTTTTGTTTATAAACTTACCTTTTCTCAGAGATAGTATTTTGTTTTCGTTTCATCAAAGTTACTCTTCCTATTTTAACTATATCTGATGAAATAGAGATTTCTGGCTTATATTTTGTACAAAAGTACTCAATCTTAAAAAAATAAAAAAATTTTTTTATTAGAAATCTGAAAATTAAGTTTCAATTACAAATTTATATTCTTTATTTATAATATATAAATTCATATTTAAGTTTATTATGAAATATTTACCTTTGCTTCAGTAAGATTTAATTTTGTGCCAACAGATTTTGCTAAATTTACACGTTCATATGTAGATGATATATGTTTACAAAAACAATCTATTGCATCCTGAAAAACTGCTAAAGATGCTTTTGTTGATGTAAGGTCAAAATCTTCAATAATTCGTTGACACCATTTTAATAAATCTCTGTTAATATAAAATTTAATTTTGAAATAAATACAGTAGTTTCAATATTATTATTTTAAACCATAGTACAGTTCATTGCATGCCATGTATTGAACTATACCAGTGGTCAGCAACCTATGACACACATGCCAATAAGTTAGTTTTTTGAAAAGTTTTTTGAGTGGAAAGTTTTTTGGTAGCACAGCCTAGAGAATAATAATTAATGAAACTTTTTCAGTATTTTAATAAATTATTTATTAAAAATATTTTTAATAATNTCAGACAATATATATATATAAATATATATATTTAGTCAGTTTTATAATCACTTAAGAGGGGTTTTTTTGGATGAATAAACTGAAATGTTGTCCTTCAAATCCAATGCTCACTCAAGTTCAAGAATTACTCAGATGATGATTAATTCTCAGATATTTTATTTAAATGCATTTCAGATATTAAAACGCATTTTATTTAAATTGCATGTGTATAATCTTTCAGATGTTATTTATTACTATCTGCAAGTGTAAGAAACATTGTAGAGATTATGATTTTATTGCTTGTTTCAAACTTTTCCAGGACATATTTAATTATAATAGTTTCTCATCATTTTATCTTCTAGTAGGTACTGGTGACTCATTTTTGCATCATCACATAAAATTACATAAATATTGCTCAAAATAAAAAGCAAATTTTTTAATCTTAATCCGTGTATATCAGTGGCATACTTTATATATATATCCAGCTTAAAATTTTTAATATTAAAATGTTAATGCATAGTTAGGCAAGTATTTTGCATGCCAATTTTAAGTTTTTAAAATATGTTCAATCTTGAATTAAATTTTAAGAACATTTTTCAAATTCTATCTATTTTTAGCTGATGTTCTAATTTGGGATGATGTTCTTTATTATATAATTTTAGCTTCCCGATATATGCATTGGAAACAGTTACTTATATACTTTATTATGTCACTTTCAATTTGGAACAGTAATAGAATTTTAAAAATGTCACATTAAATAGTTTTAACCAAAATTAATTATTAATTTATTTAATATTCAGCTTATTAATTTCAATTATGATTACCTTGCTGTCAATCTGATCTCCTAGTTGAACCTTAATTAATTGTCTTCCTGTTATTTGTGCCATGTATTCTATTAATGCTGTTTTACCACACCCTACAGCACCTTGAAGTAACATACATTCTCCAGCCACAATTCCAAGTGATAAATTTCGAAGTGTCAATTTAACTGAAGGTACTAATACTAAATTTGTTGAGTTATGCTAAAAATGATTTAGTTCATAATTATTATTATAGCTGTTTTGTCAGGTTAAAGTAGTAAAAAATAATATATAATATTCTCAATTCACTTGCAATTTTTAAGTAATGTATAAGTATCAAAAGAAAGTTTTAAAAAACATGATAAAATCAAATAACTTCATCTTGAAATAATTTTCTAGTTTTAAAGCTCCTAAAAATTATTATTTTACAAAATTAATCCGACTTAATTGAAATCTTTAATAACTTTCAAAAAACACTTAAAATACTAATCATATTCACATCAATATTCATAAACTTGCAAGCATTTTTGAGCTTATCTTGCAAATTTCAAAAAATTTAGTTGTTCAAAATACAGATATCAATAAAATATATAAATATACTGGTAACTCATTTTATATACATGTAATGTTATTACCTTTGTGTTGCAAAAAGTTGAAATCCTGATTTAGCTTTTACTAAATCAGCATGACCTGGCAGCATAAGACTTTTTGATTGAAGAACTGGAATTATGAGAGACATTATATCCATTGGTGCATAATCTATATCTTCTAGAAGTAACCAAGATCCTGAAATCATTGCTTGTGTAAGAGGACCAGGTTTCCAAATAAATTCTCCAGGTATATCTGTACAACAATGACTTCCTAGTAGAAGCTAAATGCAAAAAGTTAAAATTAATTTACAATAAATATACATACAGAAAATTATAAATAAAAATATACTATAATTTATATGTATTCTTTTAAATTATGGTAATAAAAAAAAAATATATAT